ACACTCCTCCACAACCCTTACATCCAACATACACTCTCACAACCCTTACACCCACATACACTCCTCACAACCCTTACATCCAACATACACTCCTCACAACTCTTACATCCAACATACACTCCTCACAACCCTTACATCCAACATACACTCCTCACAACCTTACATCCAACATACACTCCTCACAACCCTTACATCCAACATACACTCCTACAAACCCTTACATCCAACATACACTCTCACAACCCTTACATCCAACATACACTCCTCACAACCCTTACATCCAACATACACTCCTCACAACTCTTACATCCAACATACACTCCTCACAACCCTTACATCCAACATACACTCCTCACAACCCTTACATCCAACATACACTCCTCACACCCTTACATCCAACATACACTCCTCACAACCCTTACATCCAACATACACTCCTCACAACTCTTACATCCAACATACACTCCTCACAACCCTTACATCCAACATACACTCCTCACAACTCTTACATCCAACATACACTCCTCACAACCCTTACATCCAACATACACTCCTCACAACCTTACATCCAACATACACTCTCACACCCTTACAACCAACATACACTCCTCACAACCCTTACATCCAACATACACTCCTCACAACTCTTACATCCAACATACACTCCTCACAACCCTTACATCCAACATACACTCCTCACAACCCTTACACCCAACATACACTCCTCACAACCTTACATCCAACATACACTCCTCACAACCCTTACATCCAACATACACTCCTCACTACCCTTACATCCAACATACACTCCCCTTCCCACATACCCTTACATCCAACATACACTCCTCACAACCCTTACATCCAACATACCTCCTCACAACCCTTACATCCAACATACACTCCTACAACCCTTACATCCAACATACACTCCTCACACCCTTACATCCAACATACACTCCTCACAACCCTTACATCCAACATACACTCCTCACACCCTTACATCCAACATACACTCCTCACACCCTTACATCCAACATAACTCCTCACTAACCCTTACATCCAACATACACTCCTCACAACCCTTACATCCAACATACACTCCTCACAACCCTTACATCCAACATACACTCCTCACAACCTTACATAACATACACCCCTCACAACCCTACATCCAACATACACTCCTCACAACCCTTACATCCAACATACACTCCTCAACCCTATCAAATACACTCCTCACAACCCTTACATCCAACATACACTCCTCACAACCCTTACATCCAACATACACTCCTCACAACTCCTTACATCAACATACACTCTCACAACCCTTACATCCAACATACACTCCTCACAACCCTTACATCCAACATACACTCCTCACAACCCTTACATCCAACATACACTCCTCACAACTCTTACATCCAACATACACTCCTCACAACCCTTACATCCAACATACACCTCACAACCCTTACATCCATCCCACATACACTCCTCACAACCCTTACATCCAACATACACTCCTCACAACTCTTACATCCAACATACACTCCTCACAACCCTTACATCCAACATACACTCCTCACAACTCTTTACATCCAACATACACTCCTCATCAACCCTTACATCCAACATACACTCCTCACAACCCTTACATCCAACATACACTCCTCACAACCTTACATCCAACATACACTCCTCACAACTCTTACTCCAACATACACTCCTCACAACCCTTACATCCAACATACACTCCTCACAACTCTTACATCCAACATACACTCCTCACAACTCTTACATCCAACATACACTCTCACAACTCTTACATCCAACATACACTCCATCACAACATACACTCTTCACAACCCTTACATCCAACATACACTCCTCACAACATACACCTTCACAACCCTTACAATCCAACATACACTCCTCACATCATACACTCTTCACAACCTTACATCCAACATACACTCCTCCACAACATACACTCTTCACAATCTTACATCCAACATACACTCCTCACAACATTACATCTTCAACATACACTCTCACAACCCTTCATCCAACATACACTCCTCACAACCCTTACATCCAACATACACTCCTCACAACTCTTACATCCAACATACACTTCACAACATTACATCCAACATACACTTTCACAACCCTTACATCCAACATACACTCCTCACAACCTTTAACCAACATACACTCCTCACAACACCTTACTTCCAACATAAACTCTCACAACCCTTACATCCAACATACACTCCAACAACCCTTGCATCCAACATTACACTCCTCACAACACCATTACACCTAACATACACTCCTCACAACCCTTACATCCAACATACACTCCTCACTACCCTTACACCCAACATACACTCCTCACAACCCTTTACACCTAACATACACTCCTCACAACCCTTACACCCAACATACACTCCTCACAACCTTACACCCAACATACACTCCTCACAACCTTACACCTAACATACACTCCTCACAACCCTTTACACCTAACATACCACTCCTCACAACCCTTACACCCAACATACACTCCGACAACCCTTAACACACCAACATACACTCCTTACAACCCTTACATCCAACATACACTCCTCACAACCCTTACACCAACATACACTCCTCACAACCTTTAACCCAACATACGCTCCTCACAACATACACTCTTGACAACCTTTACATCCAACATACACTCCTCACAACCCTTACACCCAACATACACTCCTCACAACCCTTCACCCAACATTATCACTCCTCACTACACTCCTCATAACCCTTACACCCAACATACACTCCTCACAATCCTTACACCCAACATACACTCCCTCACAACCCTTACACCAACATACACTCCTCACAACTGTTACACACAACATACACTCCTTCTACAACTCTTACATCCAACATACACTCTTCACAAACCCTTACACCCAACATACATTCCTCACAACCCTTACATCCAATATACAACTCCTCACAAACCCTTACACCCAACATACACTCCTCACAACCCTTACATCCAACATACACTCCTCACAACCCTTACATCCAACATACACACCTCACAAAATACACTCCTCACAACCCTTACATCCAACATACACTCCTCACAACCCTTACATCCAACATACACTCCCACAACCCTTCACCAACCATACACTCCTCACAACCCTTACATCCAACATACACTCCTCACAACTCTTACACCCAACATACACTCCTCACAACCCTTACACCCAACATACACTCCTCACAACCCTTACACCCAACATACACTCCTCACAACCCTTACATCCAACATACACTCCTCACAACCCTTACGTCCAACATACACTCTCACAACCCTACATCCAACATACACTCCTCACAACTCTTACATCCAACATACACTCCTCACAACCCTTACATCCAACATACACTCCTCACAACCCTTACATCCAACATACACTCCTCACAACCCCTTACATCCAACATACACTCCTCACTACCCTTACATCCAACATACACTCCTCACAAAATACACTCCTCACAACCCTTACATCCAACATACACTCCTCACAACTCTTACATCCAACATACACTCCTCACAACCCTTACATCCAACATACACTCCTCACTACCCTTACATCCAACATACACTCCTCACAACCCTTACATCCAACATACACTCCTCACAACCCTTACATCCAACATACACTCCTCACTACCCTTACATATAACATACACTCCTCACTACCCTTACATCCAACATACACTCCTCACAACCCTTACATCCAACATACACTCCTCACAAAATACACTCCTCACAACCTTACATCCAACATACACTCCTCACAACCCTTACATCCACATACACTCCTCACAACTCTTACATGCAACATACACTCCTCACAACCCTTACATCCAACATACACTCCTCACAACCCTTACATCCAACATACACTCCTCACAACCCTTACATCCAACATACACTCCTCACAACTCTTAACATCCAACATACACTCTCACAACCCTTACATCCAACATACACTCCTCACAACTCTTACATCCAACATACACTCCTCACAACCCTTACATCCAACATACACTCTCACAACTCTTACATCCAACATACACTCCTCACAACCCTTACATCCAACATACACTCCTCACAACTCTTACATCCAACATACACTCCTCACAACCCTTACATCCAACATACACTCCTCACAACCCTACATCCAACATACACTCCTCACAACCCTTACATCCAACATACACTCCTCACAACTCTTACATCCAACATACACTCCTCACAACCCTTACATCCAACATACACTCCTCACAACTCTTACATCCAACATACACTCCTCACAACTCTTACATCCAACATACACTCTTCACAACTCTTACATCCAACATACACTCCTCACAACATACACTCTTCACAACCCTTACATCCAACATACACTCCTCACAACATACACTCTTCACAACCCTTACATCCAACATACACTCCTCACAACATACACTCTTCACAAGTCTTACATCCAACATACACTCCTCACAACATACACTCTTCACAAGTCTTACATCCAACATACACTCCTCACAACATAACACTCTTCACAAGTCTTACATCCAACATACACTCCTCACAACATACACTCTTCACAAGTCTTACATCCAACATACACTCCTCACAACTCTTACATCCAACATACACTCCACACAACCCTTACATCCAACATACACTCCTCACAACTCTACATCCAACATACACTCCTCACAACTCTTACATCCAACATACACTCCTCACAACTCTTACATCCAACATACACTCCTCACAACTCTTACATCCAACATACACTCCTCACAACTCTTACATCCAACATACACTCCTCACAACTCTTACATCCAACATACACTCCTCACAACCCTTACATCCAACATACACTCCTCACAACCCTTACATCCAACATACACTCCTCACAACCCTTACATCCAACATACACTCCTCACAACCCTTACATCCAACAATAACAATCTCAGGAGCGTCATCATGAGTGAACGTGAAGGTGAAGATGACGTTGTTACTCTGGAAAATGAGGAAGATGAGGACATCCCAGACGTGGCCACATGTCAGGTGACTCACTACACGTGTCCATATATCATATATTACCCTTAATTACCTCATAATTACCTGTTAACTGAGGAGGTCACGTGTCCAGGATGAACGTGTCTTGGACACGAGTCTTCTCTGAATTATTATTATTATTATTTATTTTAATAAATTATGATCCAGGTTGTGAAGTTCGGGAATTAATCTTTAGGAATTTTTATTAATGACCGCTATTGTGATAAGAATTTTTTTTTTATTTAGGCGAGGCCTATGTGATTATTGGCTGCCATAGGCCTGTCTTCTTAATTATTGTCTTAATTTAGGCTATGTGTACATAATTTTTGGTTAATTTAGGCTGTGTACATAATTTTTGGTTAAATTAGGCTATGTGTACATAATTTCTGGTTAATTTAGGCTATGTCTGCATAATTTTTGGGTTAATTTAGGCTATGTTTATATAAATTTTTTAATTTACGTTATGTCCACATATGTTTTGGATAAATTTAGTTTGTCTACACAATTTTTGGTTAATTTAGGCTGTCTACATAAATTTCGGGTGGTTAATTTAGGCTATGTCTACATAACTTTCGGGGTAATGTAGACTGTCTACATAACTTTTTTGTTAATTTAGGTGCTGGGTTCCTAACATTGTTATGGTGACAACCACAATATATACCTCAGCACGAACATACAAATAACTCAGTTTGACATATGTCACTATGTATGATAATACAATATAAAACATCCATACTTATTACTGCACCTACTACATACATAATTATAATTATAATCATGGGGACCGCTAAACCCGTAGGATTATACAGCGCATGTGGGGGGATGGAAGGTATTCAGGCTCAATTCAGGGAACCAGAGCACAGATCCACTTCCCTAGATCAAGAGCCCCTCACCAACGTCAAGGAACCTCCCTTGACGGGTACTACATATATAGAACACTTAACTCTGACATAAACCCTTCCCTCAAACATCTTACCAACCTCAACAGAACACATGACCATAACACAAGACACAGATCACTCTTTAATGTTCCTAGAGTCCATCTCACACTATGCAAAAACTCAATGCACATAAAAGGCCCTAAAATCTGGAATTCATTACCAGTGAATATAAAAGAAACACTACCTGTTTATAAATTCAAGTCTCTTCTCAAAAATCACTTACTCACCCACAACTAAATAAATACTGAATAATTGTATCTCATAAATTGTATCTCATATATGTATCTCATTATTGTATCTCATAAATGTCAACCTGTGACCCAGTCAAACTTTGTTACTATTTAACTTCATTACCTAACATAATACTCCATTCTACTGATTACATTCTACTGATTACATTCTACTGATTACATTCTACTGATTACATTCTACTGATTACATTCTACTGATTACACAGCAACACAGTAAATGACCATATGACCTGTCTTTGTAATACTCATTTGTACTAAACTGTTATCTGTTTACAATAATGTTTTTACCCCTGAATATATCATTGCTTAGTTAATCTTAAATTAATTTTAAGCTGCCCATAATGCTCTGAATACAAGGAACTTTGGCATGTTGCACTTTAAAAATTGTATTCCTTGTACTTCTCTGTATAATGTTCAAATTAATAAATAAATAAATAAATAAATAAATAAATAAATAAATAGTCTACACATATGTTGCTACCTGGAGTTTACCTGGAGAGAGTTCTGGGGGTCAACGCCCCCGCGGACCGGTCTGTGACCAGGCCTCCTGGTGGAATCAGAGCCTGATCAACCAGGCTGTTGCTGCTGGCTGCACGCAATCCAACGTACAAGCCACAGCCCGGCTGGTCAGGTACCGACTTTAGGTGCTTGTCGAGTGCCTGCTTGAAGACAGCCAGGAGTCTGTTGGTAATCCCCCTTATGTGTGCTGGGAGGCAGTTGAACAGTCTCAGGGCCCTGACACTTATTGTATTGTCTCTTAACGTGCTATTGACACCCCTGCTTTTCATTGGGGGGGATGTTGCATCATCTGTCGAGTCTTTTGCTTTCGTTGTGAGTGATTTTCGTGTGCACGTTCGGTACTAGTCCCTCTAGGATTTTCCAGGTGTATATAATCATGTATCTCTCCCGCCTGCGTTCCAGGGAGTAGAGTTTCAGGAACTTCAAGCGCTCCCAGTAATTGAGGTGCTATGTATGATTATGTACACATATGTTGCTATGTATGATAATCTACACATATGTTGCTATGTATGATAATCTGCACATATGTTGCTAAGTATGATAATCTGCACATATGCTGCTATGTATGATAATTACACATGTGCTGCTATGTATGATAATCTACACATATGCTGTTATGTATGATAATCTACACATATGCTGCTATATATGATACTTTACATGTATGTTGCTATGTATGATTATCTACACATATGCTGCTATGTATGATAACCTACCTAAATTAACCAAAGAATTATGTAGACAAATCCTAAATTAACCAAAAATTATGTAGATGGCCTAGATTACCCCAAAAGTTATAGTAGTCCTTAGACAAGGATGTATGATGTCACTGTAGTTGTTCAATATATTTATAGATGGAGTTGTAAGAGAAGTGAATGCTTGGGTGTTGGCAAGAAGTGTGGAGTTAAAAGATAAAGAATCAAACACAAAGTGGGAGTTGTCACAGTTGCTCTTTGCTGATGACACTGTGCTTTTGGGAGATTCTGACGACAAGTTGCAGAGGTTGGTGGATGAATTTGGTAGGGTATGTAAAAGAAAAAAATTAAAAGTTAATATTGGAAAGAGTAAGGTGATGAGAATAAAAAGATTAGGTGATGAAAGACTGGATATCAGGTTGGAGGGAGAGAGTATGGAGGAGGTGAATGTATTCAGATATTTAGGAGTGGATGTGTCAGCAGATGGGTCTATGAAGGATGAGGTAAATCATAGAATTGATGAGGGGAAAAGGTGAGTGGTGCACTTAGGAGTCTGTGGAGACAAATAACTTACCTATGAAAGCAAAGAGGGGAATGTATGAAAGTATAGTTGTACCAACACTCTTGTATGGGTGTGAAGCATGGGTGATGAATGTTGCAGCAAGGAGAAGGCTGGAGGCAGTAGAGATGTCATGTCTGAGGGCTATGTGTGGTGTGAATATAATGCAGAGAATTCGTAGTTTGGAAATTAAGAGAAATTGTGTGATTACCAAAACTATTATCCAGAGGGCTGAGGAGGGGTTGTTGAGGTGGCTCAGACATGTAGAGAGAATGGAACAAAACAAAATGACTTTGAGAGTGTATAAATTTGTAGTGGAGGGAAGGCTGGGTAGGGGTTCGCCTAGGAAAGGTTGGAGATAGGGGGTAAAGGAGGTTTTGTGTACGATGGGCTTGGATTTCCAGCAAGCATACATGAGCATTTTGGATGGGAGCAAGTGAAGGCAAATGTTTTATATGATGTGACATGATGTTGGGATTCAGGGAAACTGGCAGCCCGGACTTGAGTCCTGGAGGTGGGAAGTAGAGTGTCTGCACTCTGAAGGAGGGATGTTAATGTTGCAGTTTTATAACTTAGTGTAAAGCAGCCCTCTGGCAAGACAGTGATGGAATGAATGATGATGAAAGTTTTTCTTTTTCGGGCCTCCCTGCCTTGGTGGGAGGCGGGCGATGTGTTAAAAAAAAAAGCAGCATATGTGTAGATTATCATACATAGCAGGATATGAGTAGATTATCATACATAGCAACATATGTGTAGATTATCATACATAGTGACATGCGTGTAGATTATCATACATAACAGCATATGTGTAGATTATTATACATAGTAACATATGTGTAGATTATCAGTTACAGCAGCATATATGTAGATTATCATACATAGCAGCATATGTGTAGATTATCATACATAGCAGCATATGTGTAGATTATCATACATATCAGTATGTGTGTAATGATCATACACAGCAGCATATGAGGTGATAATGAGATGTGTGACACATGTTCAACTCATAATGTAGATATGAGAAAGTTGCAATGATATTAAATAATTTAAATCATTAAATAATTTAAGTGGTTATCAAGATTATTAATAAATTGACCAGGAACTGTGATAATGCCTTTTCCTCTATGAGTAATGTCTCCTACACATGATAACCCTGTTCATTTGTTACTAGAAGCACTATAACCCGAGGACCATCAGGCTATGCTCGTAACAACTGAGGTCCATTATAGTACTGAGATCCATAATATTGGTCTGTTATATACAGTGGACCCCCGCATAGCGAACTTAATCCGTGCAAGAGGGCTGGTCGTTATGCGAAATGTTCGCTATGCGAATTAATTTTCCCCATAAGAAATAATGGAAATAAAATTAATCCGTGCAAGACACCCAAAAGTATGAAAAAAAAATTTTTTTACCACAAAAAAATGTTAATTTTAGTACACACAAACTGAAAAAGGCATGCACAATTACATGACACTTACTTTTATTGAAGATCTGGTGATGATTGATGGGATGGGAGGAGGGAGAGAGATGTTAGTGTTTAGAAGGGGAATCCCCCTTCCATTAACACTTGAGGAGGCAAGTCCTTTTCCGGGGTTACTTCCCTTCTTCTTTTAATGCCACTAGGACCAGCTTCAGAGTCACTGGACTTCTTTCTGTCCATAGAGCTCTGTACCTCCCGTTCCTTTACGATTTGTCTAAAATGGGCCATAACATTGTCATTGAAATAGTCACCAGCACGCCTTGCAACAGCTGTGTCAGGGTGATTTTCATCCATAAAGGTTTGCAGTTCAACCCACTGTGCACACATTTCCTTAATTTTTGAAGTAGCACAATGGATTCCACAACTGGCATAGGCTTCTCAGGGTTAGCCCCAAACCCTTCAAAAACTTTCTTAATTTCCATACTAATTCTCACCCTTTTTACCACAGGGTTGGCACTAGAAGCTTTCTTGGGGCCCATGGTCACTTATTTTCAACAAACAGAACCGAAAACACTGTAATAATACGAAATATTCCGAGTGTATGCTTGAATGTTACCGCGGAGGCTAGCTGGTAAACAATGGGACAGGCGGCACATGTGAGGCTGGCTGAGGCCGCACATTGGACGCGTCTCGGACGAAGTTCGCTGAGCGGGTTTTTGTCTACTATGCGGGGCAAAATTTTAGCGATCAAAGCGTTCGCTATGCGGAATGTTCGCTATGCAAGGCGTTCGCTATGCGGGGGTCCACTGTATAGGTTCATCATACTATTATATAATATAAAATATATAATATAATCTTTATTTACTACAAGTACATGTACAAGGTATACAGTCCTAGCTGACAACAATGAAATACTACTATATAGAAACTCCCTTGTTATGCTCTGCATTTCGGGCAAATTAGGTCAGTGTCCCGGGATGCGACCCACACCAGTCGACTAACACCCAGGTACCCATTTTACTGATGGGGAACATAGACAACAGGTGGAAAGAAACACGCCCAATGTTTCTACTCTGGCTGGGAATCGAACCCAGGCCCTCTCCGTGTGAAGCGAGAGCGTTAACCACCAGGCCACCAGAGTCTCTTATATTGAGGTATGGTATATTGAGGTACATTATATTATGGTCTCTTATATTGAGGAATGTTATATTATTGTCTGTTATATTGTGGTCCATTATATAGATGTCCTTTGCATCAAGGTCCACTATACAGATGCTCTTAACCTTTTGACTGTCAGTGTCATATATATACATACATGTTATGAGCCAGTGTTTTTGACGTACTAAAATGCCAAAATTGTAGCGGCTTCAGATCAAGCGGAAGAAAGCTGGTAGGCCCACATGTGAGAGAATGGGTCGGTGTGGTCAGTGTGTGCAGTATAAAAAAAATCCTGCAGCATGCAGTGCATAATGAGAAAAAAAAAAACTGTGTTTTTGGATAAAAATGCCGACTTTGAGGTGTATTTTTGTGTAGTATTTATGGTTTTATTCTCGTTTTCTTGGTCTCATTTGATAGAATGGAAGACATATTACAGGAATAGAGATGATTTTGATTGGTTTCATGAAAAGGACCTTGAAAGTGTTATCAAAGTAGCAGAAATGTTCGATTTTTGCTGATGTTCAAGAGTAAACAAATGATGTCATCATCCAATAAGTGTCCAACTAGCCATTCTGATATGCAGTCACTAATGGGTTGACATTATTTATATAATTATTACAATATTGCAGTAGTTTGCATAACAGTAAATCTTCTATTTTATGTGTGAATAAAAATTCAAAATGGAAAGCAAGAGTAATATAAGAGAGACCTGGAGACATGACTAATGAACAGAGGAAATGTTATTTTAGTGCCAGGAATGTCTGCATTGTTTATTCTGGATCCTATTTTGAAATTGGCATCATTTTTAATTTGCGTGAAATTGGCCAAATTGCCAATTTGTGACCACTTTACTGGGTAGTTGAAATCGGTAAATGGGCAGTTTCTTGTACTCCATGGATAGAACAAATGGAGTTCTAAAGAAATAGCTATGAGTTTGGTTGACTGAAACAATGGAATTGGCCAAAAATAGGGCTCAAAGTGGATGAAATCGGCGATGCGTATATATCATCGAGATTGCTAACTTCACGAGAGCTTAATTCCATAAATTTTCCATCAAATTTTGTACTTTTGGTGTCATTACCATCAGGAAAAGATTATCATAAGAAAATAATTTTTTTTTTAGAATGTTTTGTGACACAGAGAGACACTTCAGGATTTGGGGTCTCAACAGTCAAAGGGTTAATATTGAGGTTTGTTATATGGAGGGTTTACTGCATTAATTGTTTAGTAATAATAATTAAAATAATAATAATAATAAAAATAATACTAGATTATGGTGTCCCACAGAGGCTGGTGGAACAGTTTGCAGAGATCACTGGTACTGATGAAGCTTGTGCTCAGTTCTACCTTCAAGACCGCAAGTGGGACCTCCAGGTACTGTACTGTCTTACCCACTACTGACACTACTGACACTGCTGACACTACTGACACTACCCAGTACTGACACTGGTAATGAAGAAGCTTGTGCTCAGTTCTACCCTCAAGACTGCAAGTGGGACCTCCAGGTACTGTACTGTCTTACCCACTACTGACACTACTGACACTGCTGACACTACTGACACTACTGACACTACTGACACTACCCAGTACTGACACTGGTACTGATGAAGCTTGTGCTCAGTTCTACCTTCAAGACTGCAGGTGGGACCTCCAGTTATTGTATTGTCTTACCCACTACTGACATTACTGACACTGCTGACACTACTGACACTACCCAGTACTGACACTGGTAATGAAGAAGCTTGTGCTCAGTTCTACCCTCAAGACTGCAAGTGGGACCTCCAGGTACTGTACTGTCTTACCCACTACTGAACTGCTGACACTACCCAGTACTGGCACTACTGACACTACCCAATACTGACACTACTTACAGTACTTACTGACACTACTTACATACACTACTTACCGACACTACTTACATACACTACTTACTGTATTTTGTGGCTTATTAGATGCATTTTTCCATAAAATGTCTCCAAAAACCACCCTGAGTCCTCTAAACTGAAGGTGAGTGACGAGAGCTATAAGTCTGGCATGTGGGGTGGGTTGTAGCTCGCCAAGTTGCGTCCGATGCCGAGCCATTGAAACTAAAACAAGTCTTATGAACCGCATCTTATAAGCTGTGAAATATGGTACATTAGTTACATGCACTACTTACATTAGTTACTGGCACTACTTACATTAGTTACTGGCACTACTTACATTAGTTACTGGCACTACTTACATTAGTTACTGGCACTACTTACATTAGTTACTGGCACTACTTACATTAGTTACTGGCACTACTTACATTAGTTACTGGCACTACTTACATTAGTTACTGGCACTACTTACATTAGTTACTGGCACTACTTACATTAGTTACACTACTTACATTAGTTACTGGCACTACTTACATTAGTTACTGACACTACTTACATTAGTTACTGGCACTACTTACATTAGTTATACTACTTACATTAGTTACTGACACTACTTACATTAGTTACACTACTTACATTAGTTACACTACTTACATTAGTTACACTACTTACATTAGTTACACTACTTACATTAGTTACACTACTTACATTAGTTACTGACACTACTTACATTAGTTACACTACTTACATTAGTTACACTACTTACATTAGTTACAATACTTACATTAGTTACACTACCTGCATTAGTTACACTACTTACATTAGTTACACTACTTACATTAGTTACACTACCTGCATTAGTTACACTACTTACATTAGTCACACTACTTACATTAGTTACACTACTTACATTAGTTTCACTACTTACATTAGTTACAATACTTACATTAGTTCCAATACTTACATTAATTACACTACTTACATTAGTTCCACTACTTACATTAATTACACTACTTACATTAGTTATGATACAGTGGACCCTGCGTTGTCATCGATCTCCGACAGGAATATAAGCCACAGCACCATGTCTTCCATTGCAGATGACAGCTGAATCTGCATGACAGTGTCTTTCATTGCAGACACTGCAAGACTCCAGGCAGACATCAACCAAATCTTTCAATGGGCTGGAGAAAACAGTATGAAGTTCATCGATGAGAAATTTCAATTACTCCGATTTGGTAAACGTGAGGAAATTAAAACTTCATCAGAGTATAAAACAAATTCCAACCACACAGTAGAGCGAAAAACTAATGTCAGAAACCTGGGAGTGATCATGTTGGAGGATCTCACCTTCAAGGACCATAACATTGTATCAATCACATCTGCTAGAAAAATGACAGGATGGATAATGAGAACCTTCAAAACTAGGGATGCCAAGCCCATGATGACACTCTTCAGGTCGCTTGTTCTATCTAGGCTGGAATATTGCTGCACACTAACAGCACCTTTCAAGGCAGGTGAAATTGCTGACCTAGAAAATGTACAGAGAACCTTCAGAGCGAGCATAACGGAGATAAAACACCTCAATTACTGGGAGCGCTTGAAGTTCCTGAACCTTTACTCCCTGAAATGCAGGCAGGAGAGATACATGATTATATACACCTGGAAAATCCTAGAGGGACTAGTACCAAACTTTCATACAAAAATCACTCCCTATGAAAGCAAAAGACTCGGCAAACGATGCAACATCCCCCTACTGAAAAGCAGGAGTGTCACTAGCATGTTAAGAGACAACACAATAAGTGTCATGGGCCCAAGACTGTTCAACTGTCTCCCAGCATATATTAGGGGGATTACCAATAGACCCCTGGCTGTCTTCAAGCAGGCACTGGACAAGCACCTAAAGTCGGTACCTGACCAGCCGGGTTGTGGTTCGTACATTAGATTGCATGCAGCCAGCAGTAACAGCCTGGTTGATCAGGCTCTGATTCACCATGAGGCATGGTCACAGACAGGGCCGCGGGGGCGTTGACCCCCGGAACTCTCTCCAGGTAAACTCCAGGTATCACCAATTTCCGTTTTTGTCGACTATTTTCGTCTATATTTTGGTTTCGTTTTCATTGATTTCCTCTGTTTTCATTGATCGTACAGAACCTGTCCAGTGCCCAGCGTGTAGACAAAGCCGCCTCCCTCAGGCATTCTCAGGCAGTGTAGTGTAGTTTATCGGTGAGTGAACAAATCCTGCCAGGTCATACGAAACATTTTGTAATAATCCATTGTTTTTGGCATTTGTTTATTTCTTGTGACTGCTAAATAAGCCACCATGGCCCCAAAGAAAGCTCCTAGTGCCAGTCCTTTGGTAAGGAGAGTGAGGAACACCCTAGAAATGAAAAAAGAAATTGTCCAAAAAATGTGATAGTGGCATACACATTGCTGAACTCGGCAGGATGTATGGGAAGGCGCCAGCAACGATCAGCTCCATTGTGGCAAAGAGAAAAGACATCATGGAAGCTGATATTGTGAAAGGGGTGAATCCGATAGCCAAACAGAGATCCCAAACAATTGAAGAAGTGGAGAAATTGTTGTTGGTGTGGATCAGAGAAAAAGAGTTAGCAGGAGATAGTGTTGTGCAATCAATAATATGTGAAAAGGCAAGGCAGTTGCATGACAATCTCATAAAGAATCTGCCTGAAACGAGTGCTGATGTTGGCGAATTTAAGGCATGGTGAGGGTGCCAGCTCAGACAAACAAGTGGCTGAAAATATTGTGCAGGAATTCAAAGGTTATGTAGAGGCTGAAAAATTGCAACCCCAACAAGTGTTCAGTTGTGATGAAACAGGCGCCTGGTTTGGAAGAAAATGCCAAAGAGGACCTACATTACTCAGGAGGAAAAGGCACTGCCAGGACACAATCCTGTGAAAGACAGGCTAACTCTTTTGTTCTGTGCTAATGCTAGTGGGGATTTCAGAGTGAAGCCTTTGCTGGTGTATCGCTCTGAAAATCCCAGTGTGTTCAAGAAAAATGATGTCTTCAAGAGTAAATTGTGTGTGATGTGGAAAGCTAACAATAAGGCATGGGTCACAAGCCACATTTTCAAAGAGTGGGTCAATGATGTGTTTGGCCCAAGTTTGAAAAAATACCTCCTGGAAAATAAATTGCCGCTCATGTGCCTCCTGGTACTGGACAGTGCTCCTGCTCATCCTCCAGACTTGGAAGACCAGTTGTTTAGGGACTTCAGGTTTATAACAGTGAAGTTCTTGCCTCCTAACACCACTCCTTTCCTCCAGCCCATGGACCAGCAGGTCATTTCTAACTTCAAAAAACTCTATACCAAAGCAGTGTTTCAAAGGTGCTTTGAAGTGACCTCGGACACAAATTACCCCGAGAGAGTTTTGGAGGAATCACTTCAATATCCTCCATTGCATAAGACTTATAGGTAAGGCTTGGCAAGGAGTGACTTCTGGGACTTTGAACTCTGCTTGGAGAAAATTGTGGCCAGGTTGTGTCCAAGAGAGGGTTTTTGAAGGGTTTGAGACTGACCCTGAGGACCCTCTGCCTGTTGTGGATTCTATTCTGGCATTGGGGGAGTCCATTGGGTTGAAGGTTAGTGGCGAGGATGTGGAAGAGTTGGTGGAGGACCACAGGGAAGAGCTAACCACTGAAGAGCTGCAAGAGCTTCAAGTCGAACAGCAACAGACTGCAGCTGAGGAACTCGCTTCAGAGGAGGACGAAGAGGGAGTGAAGGATTGCTTTTTTTGGAGATTAAAGAGATTTGTGTATGTGGACAAGGGTGCAAGCTTTTATAGAGAAATACCACTCTGACCAAGCTGAAACAAGCTATATCTACAACATGTTCAGTGACAAAACTTTGTCCCACTTCAGGGAAATCTTAGAAACGCCAGAAACAGAGCACTCTTGACAGTTATTTTGTGCGACAGGTGTGCAGTGATTCTCAAGCTGGTCCTAGTGGCATTTAAGACAAAGAAGGGAAGTAACCCTAGAGAGGGACTTCTTACTTGAAGTCATTATGGAGGGGGATTTCCCTTCCAAACAATAACCACAACTCCCTCTTTCCTCCATATCTTCCGTAAGTCAAGAAGATCATCAATAAAGATATATAATACTGATTTAATTGTTCATGTATTTATTTTAATTCATTAATTAATAAAACATTATTTTTTTGTGAATATTTTTAGTGACTGGAATAGATTAATTGTATTTACATTAATTCTTATGTGAGACATTATTTCGGTTTTTGGCCATTTTAGTTTTAGGCCGAGCTTCTGGAATGCATTACGGCTGATAACTGAGGGTTCACTGTAACTTGTAATAATAATAATTTGTAATAATAATAATAACTTGTCAGAGTGTCATTCCTTCTAAAAATTATGTGAAAATGGAAGTGTTGGTCTTTATTTATTCTACTGGACCACTGTGGAGACAATTTGTACACAATGTAAGGTGTTTGTATGAATGAGTATCAACCATAACCAGACGGTTTGTTTACATAAGTACTCTGGGACATTGTCATCTTACTCGTTCTCTCCCTCTCGTTTATTCATTTTTATCTCGCTTACCTCTCACCCTACATTAAGACTACAAATATTTTAAGGTAAGTAATGAGTGTACTGTATATGCATTTTATTGCTCTAGGGCACTTTAAATGTCATAGTAGATGGGGTGGCCAGGTGGGCTACCATACCCTACCTCCCACATAACTTTCTATAAATACAGTGGAACCTCAGTTTTTGTCCTTAATCCGCTCCAGAGAGTCATGAAAACCGAATTCGATGAAAACTGAAGCAATACTTCCCATAAGAAATAATGTAAATCCAGTTAATCCGTTCCAGACACCCAAAAATATTAACAAAAAATACATTTTATAGAGAGTAACTATAGTTTTACATACAGAAAACAGTGAGAAAAAAAAATAAAGCATTAATGAAATGATTAAATGAACATTTAAATCACTTTTACCTTTATTGAAGACTTGTTGGTGTATGTAAGATGGTGAGGAAGGGAGAGGTTATCTACCACCATCACTACCACCCTCTACCACCATCACTACCACCCTCTACCACCATCACTACCACCCTCTACCACCATCACTACCACCCTCTACCACCATCACTACCACCCTCTACAACCATCACTACCACCCTCTACCACCAATCACTACCACCCTCTACCACCATCACTACCACCCTCTACCACCATCACTACCACCCTCTACCACCATCACTACCACCCTCTACCACCATCACTACCACCCTCTACCACCATCACTACCACCCTCTACCACCATCACTACCACCATCACTACCACCCTCTAACCACCATCACTACCACCCTCTACCACCATCACTACCACCCTCTACCACCATCACTACCACCCTCTACCACCATCACTACCACCCCTACCACCATCACTACCACCATCACTACCACCATCACTACCACCCTCTACCACCATCACTACCACCCTCTACCACCATCACTACCACCCTCTACCACCATCACTACCACCCTCTACCACCATCACTACCACCCTCTACCACCATCACTACCACCCTTTACCACCATCACTACCACCCTCTACCACCATCACTACCACCCTCTACCACCATCACTACCACCCTCTACCACCATCACTACCCACCCTCTACCACCATCACTACCACCCTCTACCACCATCACTACCACCCTCTACCACCATCACTACCACCCTCTACCACCATCACTACCACCCTCTACCACCATCACTACCACCCTCTACCACCATCACTACCACCCTCTACCACCATCACTACCACCCTCTACCACCATCACTACCACCCTTTACCACCATCACTACCACCCTCTACCACCATCACTCCCACCCTCTACCACCATCACTACCACCCTCTACCACCACCACTACCACCCTCTACCACCATCACTACCACCTTCTACCACCATCACTACCACACTCTACCACCATCACTACCACCCTCTACCACCATCACTACCACCCTCTACCACCATCACTACCACCCTCTACCACCATCACTACCACCCTCTACCACCATCACTACCACCCTTTACCACCATCACTACCACCCTCTACCACCATCACTCCCACCCTCTACCACCATCACATACCACCCTCCATCACTACCACCCTCCATCACTACCACCCTCTACCACCATCACTACCACCCTCTACCACCACCACTACCACCCTCTACCACCATCACTACCACCTTCTACCACCATCACTACCACACTCTACCACCATCACTACCACCCTCTACCACCATCACTACCACCCTCTACCACCATCACTACCACCCTCTACCACCATCATTACCACCCCTACCACCATCACTACCACCCTCTACCACCACCCTCTACCACCACCCTCTACCACCATCACTACCACCATCACTACCACCCTCTAACCTCCATCACTACCACCCTCTACCACCACCCTCTACCACCACCCTCTACCACTATCACCATCACTTTCTAACACCATCACTACCACCCTCTACCACCATCACTACCACCCTCTACCACCATCACTACCACCCTCTACCACCATCACTACCACCCTCTACCACCATCACTACCACCCTCTACCACCATCACTACCACCCTCTACACCATCATACCACCCTCTACCACCATCACTACTACCCTCTACCACCACCACTACCACCCTCTACCACCCTCTACCACCATCACTACCACCTTCTACCACCATCACTACCACCCTCTACCACATTACTACCACCCTCTACCACCATCACTACCACCCTCTACCACATTATTACCACCCTCTACCACCATCACTACCTCCTCTACCACCATCACTACCACCCTCTACCACCATCACTACCACCCTCTACCACATTTACTACCACCCTCTACCACATTACTACTACCCTCTACCACCATCACTACCACCCTCTACCACCATCACTACCACCCTCTACCACTTTACTACCACCCTCTACCACCATCACTACCACTCTACCACATTACTACCACCCTCTACCACCATCACTACCACCCTCTACCACCCTCTACCACCATCACTACCACCCTCTACCACATCACTGCCACCCTCTACCACCGTCACTACCACCCTCTACCCATCACTATCACCCTCTACCACCATCACTACCACCCTCTACCACCATCAATACCAACTTCTACCACCATCACTATCACCCTCTACCACCATCACTACCACCCTCTACCACCATCACTACCACCCTCTACCACCATCACTACCACCCTTACCACCATCACTACCACCCTCTACCACCATCACTACCACCCTCTACCACCATCACTACCACACTCTACCACCACCACTACCACCCTCTACCACCATCACTACCACCCTCTACCACCATCACTACCACCCTCTACCACCATCACTACCACCCTCTACCACCATCACTACCACCCTCTACCACCAATCACTACCACACTCTACCACCACCACTACCACCTCTACCACCATCACTACCACCCTCTCCCACCATCACTACCACCCTCTACCACCATCACTACCACCCTCTACCACTATCACTACCACCATCAAAAATACAGTGTACATAAAGGGCACCAAGATCTGGAATTCATTGACTAAACCAGCAAGAGGCCCCCTGTTTGCCAGTACATTTAAGGCTATACTAAAAACTCATTTCATCTCCCAGAATTAACCATACCAACACACTAAATCATTCAACCAATTTGGAATTATGACTCAAAAAAATGTACTCGCCAGAATTTAGCAATCCTTGATCAGTATAAAACATTAATATGTGTTGTAACATTGTTAATTGCAATGGTGTTGTTTGTTTTTTGCTGCCTCACTATTTTAAATCTGGTGGTGGACTAGTGGCTAAAGCTCTTGCTTCACACATGAAGGGCCCGGGTTCAATTCCCGGCGGGGTGGAAACGTTTCAACGTGTTTCCTTACACCTGTTGTCATGTTCATCTAGCAGCAAATGGGTACCTGGGTGTTAGTTGACTGGTGTGAGTCGCATTCTGGGGGGCAAGATTGAGGACCCCAATGGAAATATGACAAGACAATCCTTTATGATGCATCGACTTTCTTGGGTTATCCTGGGTGGCTAACCTTCCTGGGTTAAAAATCCGAAGAAAATCTTATCTTATTATCTTACCTCACTTTATTAGTAAGTTAAAATAATGAGTAATTAAAATTGACCACTCTATATACTATGTGTAATTTTAAGTAGTGTGTCAGCATCAGTATTAGTCTGCCATACGTGCTCAGGCATGTTAGTGACTTTACTTGGACTTAACAATAATGTATGAAATGTAAATCACACATTGTAACCTTTGCAAAGAAATAAAAATTTTATTGTACATGTTACAACCTGTTTTTAAGTTTATGAGAGAGTCTGGCACTAGACTATCTTTTGTTTTAATATCTATCATCAAGTCTATTTTGTTTACTACTAGACAACTGTTTATCGTAGACAAATGTTTACCCCTAGAGGTCTAATTTTAATTTTTAATGTAGTGGGTGGGGAAGCCAGTGGAAGGCCTCAGTCAGAAGATCAGAAGTTTCATTAGCGGGTCATTGTGTGACCAACACCAGCATTGGGAAACTTGTCCAGTTTCCCGACACACCTTGCCCAGCTTACCCTAGAGGTGACTCGACTTAGTAACAGCAGTAAACCATCGTGTAGCGTCAGAACCGACAATCTTTATTTTATTAATGTGTAATTGTTGGTGTTTTCCCTAACAGGTTAGTTGATCTTGCTTGAGTTTCTTAATACTTGCAGTGGTCGGTGAATGCATTCCTGGAGGCTCGTTCTGGGGGTATAAAGATCTTAAATGATGGTGATGAACCAGAAGTCGTCGTTACATTTGAGTAAGTACCTGTTAGCCAGTTTGTACTTTAACTGGTAGTACAAGCAGTAGTTGAGTACCACACTAGATGGTACTGCCTTCCTCTCACATAATATCTTGCACTCTGGCTGGACCAGACATCTGGCCCATGGCTGGGCTCTGGGAGTAGTAAGACTTGAAACTCATCAGAGGTAAAGGTACATGCCAGAGTAACTACTTGCTTACTGTCTGTCTCATGAACATGTAAGATGCTGAGGAACTCTTATATTTTCACTCAGTATGTGATGCTTGGTTAATGTGGGTAGTAGAGTACCTGTACTCTGAAGAATGAGTAAGGATGTTACAGTTCTGGAGGTGGGAAGTACAGTGCCTGTACTTTGAAGGCTGAGTGAGGATGTTACAATTCTCAGATGGTGGCTGTACTCTCAGCTGCTACTGTAAGACCATGTATTTTTTTCATTACAGTTCTCATATGGTGTCTGTACTCTGTACAGTGGACCCTTGGTTTTTGTGTCTGTTTTCATGAATTTTGGTTATCGGCAACTTATAGCCTTGGTTTTTGTGATTTTCCTTGGATTTCGGCAGTCGTACGGAATGTGTCCCAGTGTCCCTGTGCACACAAAGCTTCCCACAGATGCATTCAGAGTCAATGTGGCATTGTTTCTCAGCAAGTGAGCATCACCCCACGCATTCATATGAAACATTTTGTAATAATCCATTGTTTTTGTGCTTGCAACTGCTAAATAAGCCACCATGGGCCCAAAGAGAGCTCCTAGTGCCAGGCTTTGGTAAAGAAGGTTGTGGAATGTATTGTGGCATTGGGGAATTCCATGGGGTTGGATGTGAGTGGCCAGGATGTGGAAGAGTTGGTGGAAGACCAGTGAAGAAATAACCACTGAAGAGCTGGAAGAGCTTCATCTGCAACAGCAACAGACCACAGCTGAGGAAATTGCTTCAGAGGAGGAGGAGGAAGAGAGGGGAGAAGGTGCCTTCTTCAGTGATTAAGGACATTTGTGCAAAGTGGAGTGACGTTCAAACATTTGTGGAGGAACCTCGCCCTAACAAAGCTGTTGTA